TTTCACCGATCAATATTCTACAAAATGTCACTTAAATTTCACATATCAATATAAATCCTAAATTCAAGAAAGATATGATTCTTGATCAGCTTTTTATCATTCCTAGATTTTGCTCTATACCATTTTGATAATGGATTATTTGCATTTATTCTGATGGATTCCATAAAACATGGCTAATTCATCTGATTTTTTGCTAACCTTTGAAGAAATTCAAGTGTTAGGCTGGTAAATGATGGAGAAAATTGAAAAGCTGGTCTATATAATACACGGACAAAATTCAAATGCTGAAATACTTGAAAGAACAAAAACAATGCAACGAACAGCAGACACTGTTAATAAGACACAAAATAATTTCCACCTCAAAAGGTTTAAGTAACATTCACAAAACAGAAGAGAACTAGTAGATTGGTCTCGTAACACAGGTGGTACAAGTGCCTGATATTTAACTACTCTGTGCAGAAAGTTTTATACTTTTTTGATTAAAACTCTAGGTTTTATTTAAGATCTGACTAGATTACAATTCTCAAAGTAATTAAGACTAAAAATGATCAAAACCAAACAATTTTGATTCTGCAAAACTGTAAGTAAGCCATTAAGACAATGCCAAATTCCAACTTACCAGGATGAATGGGTGGAATATCCATAGCAGGCCTTCCTGACATCATTCGAGGATCCATGTAGGACTGCATCATGAGCCACCTTGGGTCAAAACCCATGGAAGCCAAATGTTGAGGGTGAGGCTGCATGGGCTGGTAAAGAGGTCTGTGTGGAGGTAAAGGGACAGTGCCACTGGACGGTTGTGAAGGAACCGTTTGCGGAAGTACACTTTGCTGTTGCTGCTGCTGCCACTGCTGCTGCTTCATCTGTTCCTGAAAAAGTGAGACCTCACATTTTGAGATTTTAGTTATGCACGATAAATTAATATAATCGATCATATGAGAAAATAATAGCTTGTTTTGAGGGAAGAGTAAGAATTCAAGACACTTAACAGTGAAAAGTTGGCAAGACAAAGGAAAAAAGGATAAGTTACAACATTCTGTCTAATACTCAGGTAAATAATCACTCATTTCATTGTATTGTGCAATCTATTTCCTATAAATGGAAGATGGTGTCTATAAACGAGGCAGAGGATAAAAGGTCAAGGTCAAGGTAAAACCCCCTTCAACAAATTTTTATTAAAAACGAAAAAAGAATTTCAAGGGAAATTTGTATACTTTAGGTATTTCAGGTTTTATGTCAAATTTCTCAGGCTGCTGAACAATAAACCTTTTAAAGCAGACATACATGATAAAATGTTTTTATTGTTACCTGTTGCCGCTGGAATCGTGGTGGTAAAGACTTCTGGAACTGTTTGAAATAACCAGATAATACAGCAGGCCGAGGCTGAGACCCTGATTCTGGTTCCGTTTCATGCGTCACTGGCGTGGGTTCCTTTTCAGTGCGATTGCTGTCCTGTCTAGTGAAAACTGCTTCCTCCTCTGTCAAAAGAAGAAGTGAAAGGCAATGGTATTCACCTACAACATTTATCAAATACATGCTTTCTGTACTGAAATGAAATGATCAGACTGAGGTATACAGAAGTTAATGAAGAAGAAAGCATCCCCAACACTCCAAAACGTTATTTTATCTAATGTTGGCAGTCATCAATGAGGTAACATTATATTATCCAGACTTTAGACTTTCTCAAAGCTGGTTTCTTAAGATGGAGGCAAGTCACAGACCCAAATGCTTTACCATACAAAAATATATATTTGATTTTTAGTGATAAAAAACATTTCAAACCCTATTGTTCATTTATTTCAATCAATTATCAATGCAACTGTCAATATTCATTTGTGATTCATTAGAACCTATGTGAAAACACAAATGGCCTATAAATAGTTAGAAATAGAGCCCATTGGTATATTTGTTTACTTACTTATTGGATCAAGGGACTATTATCTACAAGGAAAACGAATAAGCTTAAGTCTTAAGACAACAGGCTGATCACTAGCTATCTTCAAATATATACGTCATTATGGTATTCCATATACAGGGCGTCACATATGCTACACCAAAAGGAGAACAACAGATATACCAAAAAAAAAAAATTTCCATGTCAAGGAAAACCAATCATATTTATTCTGCAGCATGTCATGTCACAATTACAAAGCCATGCTTGTTACAAATTCTTTTCTCAGTTGACTAGGAAGAATCACAAACCACATTTTTAACTGCTTGCATTACATTCAATGTTAAGAATATTATAAAAGGGAAAATAAAATATTGGTGGGAAAAGAGAGCCATGAACTGAGTTGAAAAATCTATGGGTCTAGTGTTAGAATTGAAAAAAAAGGAAAAGAAAACATGGATACATTTCACTGAAAAATGTAGCTAAAATTAAATCGCCATGAAAATATATAAAATGTGAATGAAAATGAAAGTGCTAGTAAGTAATGATTATTAAAAAGAAAATAATTAATTTACTTATAGTCACCAATGAAAGTTAAATTAACTAATTAGAATCAACACATGTATTCAGTGGCAGCATTAAAGTTAACACATGGGCTGGGCGCAGTGGCTCACACCTGTAATCCTAGCACTCTCAGATGCCAAGGTGGGAGGATTGCTTGAGCTTAGGAGTTTGAGACCAACTTGAGCAAGAATGAGACCCCATCTCTACTAAAAATAGAAAAAAATTAGCTGGGCAACATGGTGCGCACGTGTAGTACCAGCTACTCAGGAGGCCGAGGCAGGAGGATTGCTTGAGCCCAGGAGTTTGAGGTTGCAAAGAGCTTTGATAACACCACTGTACTCCACCCACAGTGACAGAGTGAGACTCTGTCTTAAAAAAATTAAAAAATGTTAAAACATGAATTTCCTTATTTTTTATCTACAGTCCTCTTAGTAACTCGTAGTCAATCAGATTCCCTAAGGTTGACCTCTTTTAACGTTCATCAATATTAAAGTACGACAATGGTTTTCATTTCTTTTGCGAACAATTTTATTTCACTTTTTTTAGTATTATGAGCCATCTTCTTAAGCACTTATATAATAAAAGCCCACTATCAATATCTCTCTAGAGTGATTAGTATGAAGAAAATTTATGAAATCTGATAATCATAACTAAACAAATGATCCAAATGGGCCTTACCTCATTGAAAAAAGACATATTTTTTTTGAGACAGGGTCTCACTCTGTTGCTGGGCTGGAGTGCAGTGGTGTCATCATAGCTTGCTGCAACCTCTAACTCCTGCATTCAAGTGGTCCTCCTGCCTCAGCCTTAAAAGTAGCTGGGACTACAGGGGTGTACCACCATGTACAACTAATATTTCTATTTTTCTGTAGTGACGGGGTCTTACTATGTTGCTTACGTTGCTCTCGAACTTCTGGCCTCAAGCAATCCTGCCTCGTCCTCCCACAGTGTTAGGATTACAGGCTTGAGTCACTGTGCTCAGCCAACATACTCTTTTCATTAAGAGCCAAGTTTGAAGGTTACCTTGAATATAAATTTTATTTTATAACACAAATTTGTATTAAAGTTTCAAGCAGTAAGGTCTTGTAAAAAAAAGAGCGTGAGATGTGAGGTTTAAAAGTTATAGTACTTCTACATCAAAAAACGCAATAAAATAAAATCATATTTCTATTTTAACTCAAGCTGTCCATTAAAACCGAACTTTACTGTAGGTTAGTCAAGGTTTTATACTCTATATGAATGTCATTAATTAGTCTATAAACCAACCTGAAGAAGAATAAAAACGTTCATTAGATCTAGAAAAAGACTTTTTAAAAAAAGTATAATTACTCCAGGAAATTATAGTCTAATAGCACATCAACTATACCATGGAACTCACATGTTTAAACTGTTAAAACAAATCCAAAATTATGAACTGTGTGTAGTCATTTGATTATGACAATCCAACATTCCTATTAAGCTCTAATCCAGTTCAGTTTTAAAGGTATTAATGCATGTGAGCAAATGAGATTTTATTTAGTTAAATGTCTTGGAGTCAGAAAAAAGTAGGGAGAATCAGTATAGGCAACTAGGAGTCAATACAGATTTGCAGACAAAACAGAATTGGAGCTCACCCAATAACTGAGAAAACTTCAGGGATGTCTCTTCATATATAAAATTAGGAAACATGGCTCAAGCCCATTTTTTTTTTAACTGCAAATGCTATCTTAAAATAATCACTTTTATTTTGATCACATATATTAAAATTATACAAGCACCAACACTGTAACTAACCTGAAACCCTTGGTAAAGTTTATATAACAATAAGACTATCCTACCTTTATTACAGTTGGTTTCACTTCCTTGTTTTTCCACCACAGGCTCTAACGCAGGTTCTTTGGGTTCTATTTTTTCCTCTACTTTCTCCCTTTCCTTCTCCAGCTCACATGCCTTTTCTTGTTCTTTTATCTTTTGTAGTTCTTTCTCCTTTTCCCTCTGCCTTTCTAATTCTTTTTCTTTTTCTTGCTTTCTTTCCTTCTCCATTTCTCTTTGTTTTTCCTGCTCCTTCTCCAGCTCTTTCTCCTTTTCCTGCTGCCTCTCCCTTTCTTTTTCTCTCTCCTTCTCTCGCTCCTGTTCCTGTTCTTTTTCAAGTTCTTTCTCACGCTCTCGTTCCTTTTCTCGCTCCCTTTCCCTAATTTCCTCTGGAGATGGTTGTTTTTCCACGATGCCAAGTTTCTCATCCAATCGTTTCAGTTTCTCTGCACATGCTGCCTTCCTTTGTTCCTCCATTCTTCGCTCTTCCTCTTCACGCCGTTTGCGAGCCCGTTCCACTGCTGCAGAAATTTCTGACTGTTGTCTTCGTCTTTGCTTCCATATTTCATCTTCATCAGGTACTTGCTGCTTGGCAGGAAAGGGGCCTGGCCTTCCAGGTATTGCCTGTCGATCTGGAGGTGGATGCTGAAATATTAAGACAAGTTTTCAGAAGAGTATGAGAACTACTTCTGACTGACACCAGGTATCATAGGCATGGAGAAGGAAAATAAGTGCACAAAAATATCAGAATTTTTTCTGATAAACATACACATTACAACCAAAACACATAACATGGAAAGGAAATTTAGATAATTCACCAAACTAAGATCAGAATAATTAACCCAGACACCCAATATTTACAGAGCATGTACCTATCTATATGTTGTGCCAGAGACTGTTGATCGCTCAGTATTTGTTGAATAAAATTAGAAGGACAACACAGAATCTCAAATTTGAAATTTAAAGTATGAATGCTTTAGCAGCAGCTGCCAGAGCTGAAGTGCCTAAGAGGGAGAAATGAAGGCCATAAATATCCAAAATGATGGCACATGGTCCCTGAGAAAATTAAAGTACAGCTACAGGAAAAAAGCAGAGAACCAAAGAAACAAAGTGAAGAAGATGGAGGCAGGGCTGCTAACGACACTCAAAGAAATTCCTACAAATCAGCCTGGGTAGAGAGAGTTCTATCTTTAGGACAAAAGATCCAGAAAAACATCTCTAGAGCCCACAGCGGAGAGTGGGAGGAACACCTGAGCGATCTAAGTTTCGATGACTGAATTTTCATCAATGTGTTAAAAAAAACAACGACTACAAGGTTTAAAATCACTACCAGCAACCATGCAAAACTAAGCAGAATGAAAAAAAGCACATAAAGTGCTGAAATGTAACGGAGGAAAAATAACTTTTTTAAAAAATACTAATCTTAAAAGATACTGGGGTGAAGAAACCTTAAAAGCCACATGTTGCCCAGTCAAAATCCTGACAAAAGCTAAAACAATGGTACAATGAAAACAGCTGACTAAACAGTTTTAATAATGCAGACTATCCTTTACTAAGAGTGTTGTCTTATGCAAACCACTGTATTTCTCTGGTGCTGAATTTCTTCATTTACAACTCAAAGACACGCTGAAAAACCAAAATACATAAAAGTATCTAATTTACACAGTAAACTCAGAGTAATCATTTTTCTAAAGCAGCTTCACTGAAGTATAATTTACATGAAACGTGATACATATATTTCAAGAGTATAGTTTGGACAAATGATACACCTGCGTACCCACTGGTCCAGTTAAGAGAGAGAATCCATGATTGATGTCACTTCAGTCATCATTCCGCTGCCCCCTCCTACCTGTGACCCTAAAGACCCCTAACCCTGAGCTTGAGTAATTGTGCTTGCCCTAAAATTTCATATAAATAGATACATAAAGTCATATTCTCTTTTGTGTTAGGTTCTTCTGCTCAGTGGTTTTGATGTTATTATGTGTATTTGTAGTTTGCTCCATTTTACTGCCAGATGGTATTCTATTATAGGCACATCATTTCACCAATGACGGACATGTGGGTTGTTTCCAGTTTTTTAAACTATAAATATTTATTATCATTCATGCATAAGTCTCTGTGTAAACGTATGTTTTCATTTCTCTCACATAAACAGCTAAGAGTGGAACTCCCAAGTCTTATGGTAAATATATGTTTCATTTATAAGACACTGCCAAACTGTTTTCCAAAGTGGTTATAAGGTTTCACAATGTATAAGGGTGCCAGGTGCTCTACAGCCTTGCAAACACATGGTGTCATCAGTCTTTTTAATTTTGGGTGTGTAGCAAAATCTCAGTGTGGTTTTAACTTGCATTTCCCTAGTGAATAAAGATACTGAACATCTTTCCAAGTGCTTACAGGCCATTTGCATATTTTCTTTTGTGAAGTAAATGCTCAAATTATTTTGTTGGGCTATTTTTCATATTATTGAGTTATAAGGTTTTGAGTTTTTTTGAGATAGCCCAGACGCAAGTCCTTTGTCAGATATATTAGGAATATTTTTTCTGTGACATATCTTTGTTTTTGGGAGGTGTTTTTCAAAGTCTAATTGACCAATTTCTCTTCTTTTTTAAATCATGCCCAATGTGATAGGTAAGAAATCTTTGTCAGTCCCAAGTTCATAAAGACTTATCTTTTGCATTTTCTTCTAGATGTTTTAGTTTTAGCTTCTAAAGACTCTTTTTCAAAAAAAAAAAAAAAAAAAAAAAGGAACCTACTGAAATATAATAGGTGGTAGCAAGTAATCAGTGCATTACTGCTAGGTAATTCAGAGGTATAGCGGGAGATGAAAGCACGTCTAGAGGGTTAATGAGAGAATGAACAGCAAAAGTCAGTAAGTATGAACAGCAAAAGTCAGTAAGTATGAACAGTTCACTAAAAGAAGTTTGCTGTGATGGAGAACAGAGAAATAGGGTAGACACTAAAGGGGGATGGAAGGTGGGGTAGTGTGGTGTTAAGTGAGGGGTTTTTGTGGAGTTTTTCGGTTTGTTTTTCTTAAAAGATGGCAGATAACTCTCTGTTGACTGATAGAGGATGGGATCCAGGGAACAAGTAAAAGTATGGAAGTTCAGAGTATATGGGCACTGAAACGAGGAAAACAGTTATCTCCCAAGTGCTTCTTATTTCCTTAGTGAAATCTGAAGCACACTTATCAGCTGAGAATGAAGATGGAAAAGAAGAGTAAGAAATCCAAGAACCACAAGGTAAAAAGTTGATAATTAGTTCATAGAAATTATAAATACATTTCGCCCCTTTCTATCAAAAAAAAGTCAAATAAAACATATACACCATAAACTGACATTTAGTGAAAATTTACCTGCTGCGCCAACAACTTTGGAGGTGGTGGCAGATGTGAAGATGGTCCACGTTCCTACATAAGGAAGGATTGTTAAAAGATAAAATCAGATCAGAGTAAGATACCTATTGGAAGTATTTCTGAATGTACAGATTTTCTCAGCGAGACTGCAAGAATGCTAAAAGTAAACCATCCTTGTCCGTTTCTCGTAATAAACGCACAGCACTCTGCAAAATTGCTTTCTATAGAATCACTCTGCCATTTTGATAAGGTCGGAATTTGCAATGCACTTTGCAATTGGTAGAATTTTAGCATAGCAATTCTGGAATTCTGACCCAGGAAACCTAGCTGGGGAGAGGTGTACCTCTAATTACTAAATTTTATTTATGTAAGCGAAATTCTTTTCCTGGAATTTTTTCTTAATAGTAAACTAAAAATATGAGATTTATCTTAAAAAAGAAAAAAGAAACATCTAAAACACATTGGAGGCCAACGCAGGGGGATTGCTTGAGGCCAGGAGTTTGAGACCAGCCTGGGCAATGTAGCAAGACCTTTTGTCTTTAAGGAAAAAAAAAAAAATTAGTCGGGTGAGGTGGTGCACATCTGTAGTCCCAGCTGCTCAGGAGGCTGGGGTGGGAGGAACTACTTAGTATTTCTTCGAAGTGCCACCCTTTCTTATGTTTCTATACTCTGTATATGTTCCCACTGCTTGGACTAGCTCTCTTCCTTTTGTTTACTGGCTAATTCCTGCTTCTTTAAGAATTAGCTCAAGTACTAAGTCTCTAAGAACTCACTATGTGTCCTCTCTCACATCACTTAGCACACTGTATTGTAACTGATGCTTACTGGCATTTTTTTTCCTTTCAGAGAGATTGTTACCTACCTCCTTTTAGCTCTCTGAAAGGACAAGTTCTTCCATTTGTTTTGTATGAATTCAACAAACACAAGCTGACTACTCTGATTCCTTAATACAGAGTTAAGTGGACTCTCTTGAAAACAATGGTTTTTTATTCCCAGTTTATAACGCAGCCCTTGCTACTGTTTACCATCTCAGAAGTGGATTAAGTATATTTGTTGCCCACATATTTCGCTGCTTTCACATTGTTCTTCAAAATGATTCAGACTGCTTAGATGTCCCTTCTCACTATGTGTGATTTCTCTACACAGATAGTGTGCCATTTCATGCACAAAGACTGACTAGTATTTGTAAAATACTCAGTTAACCATAAAGTACACACTTCAGCAATGTTCCTTTTACTTTGGAAAAACAAGTTTATTCTTCCACTTTGCTATGACTCAGCTATGTCATAAAGGGAAAAGAAGGTAAAACCTTTTTTCCTGATAGTTTTTTTACTTGATAATTTCAGTGACTATACTGATAAGTCCTATTAATGTACAATCAATATTATGATGTAGATCCAGGGCTATTAAAAAAAATACACAGTTCCCTTTTCTGAGCCCCCTTCTAACTGTAAGATTAACTCATCCATAGTGTGTACCTAAAATGACAAGAATGTCCCTGAGTCCAACAAACCTGATTAAATGAAGGTCCTTTCCCATAGGGAGCTTTTGCTACTGGTGCCTGGGCAGATATTTGAGAAGAAGATTTAGTGTTGCAAACTTCATCTGCTTCTTTTCGGTTTTCAGTGTTTTCAGAGGTTTTGGAAACTTGATCCTCACTGAGGAATCAAAATGCAGAGGAAATAATAAAAGTACAGTGGGCAGACTGTATTATAAGTAAATGCACTATCTCTATATATTTTTTTAAAAAACTTACTCCTGTATGATTTCAGGGGAAAAAATGTATCAGGCAATGAGATGGGTTTGTGACCTAGTATTACTAAATTTGTTCATTCAATAAATATATACTATGTATCTATAATGAATTGGGGACTGGGTTTATCCAGGTTGTCACAAGGCATACAGTGTAATACAGTAGTTCTCAAATCTGGACACTGACATTTGACCCAAAACTTCACAAAGAAATATAACCCTATCATTTTCTATCTCCTCCACCCAAGAAGTCTAATCCAGATTCAACTGAGTAATACTGGAAATATTATTAGCTGCATTCTAATTTATTCTGATATAATAAAAAAGATAAATTAAACTACGGTACGTTTAAAAGTCGCAAAAAATCACAGGTATCTCATGAATGATTGTGAAACTGCAGTGTATTATATCACAATGTAGAGCTGAGAAATTACACCAATATGTGCATAGAAACTTCTGTGTATTTTAAAAGCCCAGCTTTTATGATAATGACCCATATATTCCTGACCGATGCCCTTATATCCCAGAAGAAAGGAAAGAGATAAAAAGCTCCCATTTTCCAAGGCCCTAATGCTGCTTGCTAAATTAAAAAAAAAAAAAAAAAAATCAAAGACTTGAAGCAGCTGTGGTAACCCAAGGAATTATTCTCTAATTTGTAAATATGGATTGGGTCAAGCAAGTAATAGTTTAAAGTGGACTGATACTGATTCTCAAAATATCTTCAATTAGATGCCAAGTATCTCAATATCTTTTTTTTTAAATGTACTTTCTTGAGAAACATCAAATATTAATTCCTTGCTTAGCCGTACTGTATTAATTTGACTCATTAATCATCCTCCTACTCAGTAAAACTTCTTAGACGAGAATAGAAAAATTCCACAAATAAGGAACAAATGTCTATTAATAATTCTCTGCATAAATAATGGTATAATAACAATTTCATACTGCTATTAGTAAAAAAGATATCACAACAACTTACCCGCTATTCTCTTTAGGACTACTGCTTCCTTGCTCATCATCGTCACTGAAATTCAGCTGTTCTGTATAGTCTACTTCCATCTGAGCACCTATTAAATCAAGGAAAATTCAGACTAATTGCTTAAAAGCATCTAATGATTTAAAGTACTTAACTAAATTTGCCTCTTACCTGCCCAACCTTCATCAGCTTCGGCATCCAGGTTATCAAATTTATCAAGCTCCTTCAGTTCCGACGCACTGAGGATGGACGGGCGTTCAGGCTCAGAGGCCCACGAAGGAGGGGGGCCTCTTCCTCGAAGGCCTCTACGGAAGGGGAGGTCATGGTGGGAAAAGACAAAGTTTTAATGATACTAAACTAGGAGAGTATTAAAAGATTGGAATTTAGTTCATTTCAATTCAACATTAGTGATGTGTACGCCAAGATATACAAAATGTTTTGCACTGACTCGTGTATGAAGAAATTAACACTAATACATAATTAAAGGAATATGCACAATATAATTGTTATATATTTAATAGATGACAGGGTTTTTCAAAGAATTCTCAAAGATTTAAAATAAAACATACATATGCTAAAGAACAGAAAATAAGTAATGCAAATATAAATGAATTTTCTCTACATGTACATAAAAATTATTTCTGTGAGGTTTCAGGGAAAAAAGGTACCAATGAATGACATGGGTTTGTGACCTAGTGTTGATACAGCTCTGGATCTATATAATAATTTTTATTGCATATTAACAGAAATTACCAATATAACTAAAATTATCAAGTAAAAACTAATATTTTACCGTTTTTCCCCTTGTGATAAGCCCAGTTTTATGATTAAAACTAATCTCAAAATGTATAATCTTAAGAAAACCACCATTCAAGAGGATGCTCAAGTCTCACGTTGAGTGAGAGAGAGCTCAAGGCATCACTAATATGGAAGGAGGAAGAAACAAACGTCATCAATTTTAGGGCTATGATTTTCAGTTTTTAGAATTTTATGTCAAATCAAATTTTTAAAGGAATAGAGTATTTTTGTTCTGTCTTATAAGAGCCAATTATTTAATGGCAATTGTACTTTGAGGACAGAAAAATGATCAATTTTTCTATCACCACAATCATTCAACCTTCAGAAAATCTTAATGAGCATATATATTCCTTACAGAAATTAATCATTTAGTAGTCTTACTTGTTTGTTTCAGATAAAGAAGGTGGAAATCTCATAGGACCGTGTAGAGGAGGGTATGCCATCCTTGGATACTGCTGAAACATCTGCATGAAGGGAACAAAAAAAATTTCAATAAATTTAGCAACTCAGTTATAAAACAACAACAACAAAAGAATCAATCTGACTAGGCCTAGGTCTGAAATTATAATTTATAGAAAGTATAATTAAAATAGACAGTACCATTAATAATGAATTTTATCTGCTAGCATAGATCATCATTCACCCTCAATAACAAGCCATGTGCAAGACCACTGCCTCCCCCAGGTCTTTACAAATAGAGGTAATAACTAGGGCACATGATATGAAGAACTTCCGTGTCTCATTAATAAAATTACATAAAACTGATTGTGGGTATTGACAACATGCATAAACACATGCACCCCAGAAAACTGCAAAGCCTCAGTCAAGTGGGACACTAGAAAGGCAAAATAATGTGAGCCTTCATCCTAAAGCAGGAGTAGACTAACTGAGGCAGGTTTGTTGATAAAGAGGAACTCAGCTCAGATAAAATTAATGGATAGTCCACAACGCAAGGGAGTAAGCGAGGAGAGCCACTTGGAGATTTTCTATGGATAGGTGGATTCTCAGTCAAGTTACTGAACAGATAATTGTAAACTGAGGCCCAAGCAGGTCAAGATGATGCTCTCTGTGGGAATTTGGCTTTGAGAAGTTACACTCAGGTTAAACTTAGGGGAAGACATCAGACAGATTATGAAGACAAAGAACATCAAGGGATTCATCTTGATTTGGAAGGGAAGAAGTGTCAAAGAGTACTTGGTCATTTATTATTTGCTCATATCCAGGTCAAATTATGTAAATAATATGAAATTGTATTACCTTAAACACATAATTTATATCCTAAAAAACAAGATTAGGTTTTCTAAAAAATAAAGTAACTGTGTCACATGAGAAAATTACCTTATACTTGCAGAAAGGCAATGTCTATATGATTATGCCATCTAAAGAAGAAATTTCTCCTAAATAGGGTTGAAGCAAAGTTAATTAAGTTAAGCAGCAGCCGAAACTCAGCTGGGGAAGCTATTTGTTTGGGGAATACTCTGGAGAATTTCCAGTTGCATCACACTTTCATACTGAAGTTAGTAGATACACTATTGGAGGCAAATTTTCATAGGTAAAGTTGGGTTAGATCCTTTTGATCATTTAGACATAAAGATTAATTTCATGTGATTTTTAATGCTTAAATTTTGGCATTTGCACAAAATTAACTGTAGAAGCAATCTTTAAATTCTCAGTATATAAAGTAGTGGTTTTAAAATGTTTTTGTTAATTAGTGGAACACTTTATTCAAATAAAATCATCAATGAAATTGGGAATGAAGCCTACTAGGTCTTCCTTCTCGGTCCTGCCTTACCCCCAAACTTGGAAGGTCCAGGGTCTTTGCAAGTATAATTTCAAAATTATGAGGAGAAAAGTAATTGGTTATAAATGATTTTTTAAGGCTAGGTCAGTACATAATAGCTTTATTATACACCCAAACTTCTTTTTAGAAAATATTTAACAAGCAGTGGCATTTAATCATTTATTTCCATTACTCTAGAGTCGTTAAAAAAATACAATGAAGGACTAGAAAATGTGATGGATATTTAGAACTCGAGTACTTAGGAGTTAAACCATAAACTAAATAAATATGATCTAGATTTTTCCTATGAGAGTAATGGGTCTTCTGAAAAATGTAAAGTTATTTACCCAGGCACATGTGTGTAACTGCACAGTAGGCTGATAGCAAACAAAAGAATGAGGGCGCCGAATCTCAGTTTATAGAAAACGCAGGGGTTAGAAGTTTATATTAAATGAAACTACAAAGATGGAATCAACAAAATCCAGATTCTGAGAAACCTCACAGGTTAACAAATAAATTGTAACAGATAAACTCCAAAGAAAAGAGATGGAAGTACCTCTAGGTAACAAGATTCTTAGGACAAATCTGAACCAATCTCAAGGCATGGTCATTGCCTGGGTCCTAATTATGAGATACTCAGAGAAACTGAAATACTGACATGACATTTGAGAATATTAGGAAATTAGTTTTCTTTTTAGGTGTGACAATGGCACTATGAAATTTTCCCCCAAGTCTTTCTCTCTTAAAATACAACTTAAAATATTTACAGATGAAATGATGTATCTTAGATTTACTTTAGTAATCCAAAGGGGTGGGGAAAGAGGCAGATTCACTGTACTATATTTTTGTAGATGTTTAAAAGTTTCTATAATAAAAAGTTAAAACAATTAATAACAAGTGGGTCTATCCATAGGTCTAATAATTATTTTCAGGAAATGCTGAATGTAATGTGATAAGAAAACATCTATAATCCTTATTAATGATAAAGACACAAGTACTGCTAATACTCCTCATTTGTTTCCTATAGTCATAATTTAAAAGAACATTAATTTTTTATTTAGATGTTAATGAAAACAAAGAGCTAAACTTTTCCCCATTCTAATTCTCCTTGGACCCCAGATCAAAAACCTCATTATTTGACTGCTTGTTCACTGAGCAATACTCACGTAAGGAGGCATCATAGCTCTATACTGGGAAGCAAGGGCAGTCTGCTGTCCATTCAGTTTAGCCTGTGGAGGACCACAAGCTATCCTCTTTTCCACCACTTTGAGGATATCATTTTGCTCTGATGTTCCGGCTGTGCTTTCTTCCTGGCCAGGGAGCTTTTCATCTTGATCAGATGAAGAAGGTGAGCCAGCAGACTTACCACCATCTCTCCAACAAGCAACATCTGGTACAAAGAAGGAAGGAAGTAAGGAAAAAGAAAAAAAAATCTGAAAAGGGAAACAAGTGAAACCAAACAAGGCACATTTCAAAAAAATATAAGCAAACAAGCACAGTGAAAGAGCAAGGAAAGTCTAATCTAGGCCCTATCAATGTTTTTAAGGTGTTCAGATAGTCTAGAGTAATGGCTTCCAAAGCTGAGAGATGTACTTTAGAGGGTGCCAGTACAAGCAAATACTGGGGTAGGAGGAAAATATTAGAACTCCTCCATGAAACTTCACCAATATTTTATAGAAAGATTAAAATCACTGTTCTTGTGTTCACTTGGGCAGCACATATACTAAAATTGGAACCATACAGAGAAGATTAGCATGGCCCCTGCGCAAGGATGATACAATTTTAAATTAAAAAATAAATAAATAAATAAAATAAAATCACTGTTCTCATGTGATCCATGTCAGATGGTCATGTTTCAGGGTAAGATACACCCGAGGCTTCCTGAGTGAAGGCAAGTCAGAGTTTTACAATCTGGAAGGGTTGACAGTGATGCTCTCATCTGTTTGCTTTCAGCTTATTCTTGCTAATTACATGCACCCAGGTGAGCCAATTTAGTGACATTGTCTGGTTCAACTACACTTAACCAAATGAAACAGCAAAGTGGTTTTGTGAGGAACCTTGTGTAACCAACCAGTCTCCAAGAAGGCCTGAATGGTCTCGACCTCCTGGTATTCACACCCTGTATACTCCCTTCTCAAACAGTGTACCAGGGTTGGTCTGTGAAACCTGTAGAATACAGCGGAAGTACCAGCATGTCCCTTTCGAGATTAGGTTATGAAAGACTGGAGGCTTCTGTCTTGGGTGGGGGATATCTATCTGTCTCTCATCACTTACTCTAGGGAAGCCATGTAATTGGCAGCCCCACTGAGAGGCTAACATACTAAAGAGCACACAGCTACATGAATGAGTTTGGAAGTACAGTCCTAATTAAGTCAGCCTCTGATGGCAGCTTCATTGCAGCCTTGTGAGAAAGTCACTCAGCCAGAACCCCCAGCTAAGCTGATCTTGCAGTCGTGGCCCTCAGATACTGTGGGAGATCATAAGCACCGTCTCAGTTTGTTGTTTTACGTTGTCAAATTTGTTACGCAGCAATAAATAACTGGTGAAAATTCAACTGAAGAAGAAAATAGCACAGCTGACACATCTATTCCTAAAATGAACTCATCAACCACATTAAGATGATTAAAAAATAAAGATGATTTAGATTTGTTCAGATCCGAAAAGAAATGACCGCCCCAAAATGTGAAATGTGTCAGATTATTAGAAATACGAATTTGTAAACAAACATTGTCATAGAAGAATCTCCCCATGTGTATAGGATCCTTTAAGATATTTGGTAATGACAATACGAAACTACAACAATTAATAAGACATCTTAAGATCAACATTTTATGCTATGTTTAGTTTTAGCCTTATAATGTACATAAAGTATCCCTCACTATCCAGAATTATTTGTTTCCTCAGTTTGAGTTCAGAAAGCAAGGAATCACTGAATATTAATATAGTAATTAATAAATGTATATGGTTTA